GAAAGTGAACATTGTTTCCCCATTTTTCTGCTGTACATCTGACTTTGATTTTAAATCCTAAAGGCTGCCTTAGAAGGTAAACTTAAGGACAGGACACAGAAGGGCTAGTACCATTTTGTTTCTTAAGTAGGGTGCCGGTTACCTGGATGTATTGAATTTTTGGAAATTCATCTAGCTGTATGCTTTGATTTGTGCAGTGTTTCAAATCTGTGTCAGATTTCAATTTAAAAGCACAGACCTAGTAGACCTAGTACGAGAACAAAAGTGACACCCATTCCCGAAATTGTTACATATAAGTATATGCCTATGTGTACATACATGTGGGCGCACACGTCTGCACACACACACACTTAGGCTTTGGCTATGGCGTCCAGTCTCTTTGCCGGCTTACTCTTAAGTCCAGATTTGTTGGTTTCCCCTTCTACTCTGTAGGAAGCACGACTCCAGGATCACTCCGAGGTTTGAGTAACAGTTCTTTCACTGGGCCGGTTTCTTAGCCTGCCTGGAGGTCCTGTTCCTTCCCTGTGAGACATGTTATCTCCCTTGCTAAAATGAGAACCTAGGGGATGAGAGCCTCAAGTGCAGCCCTTCACAGAGGAAGATGCACACAGTCCTACATGCATGTCTTTGGGAAGACCCTCAGAAGGGCATTTGGGATGATGGGTTATACACGTTCAGGGGCTGTGTCTTTGTCAGCTGCGTATTAGTAAGCCCCTAGCGTCTGGTGGGGAAAAGCGTGGTACCGAGCAGGATCCTGTGTTTGGAGCACAATCTTCAAGAAGACTGTGTTACAATCTTACAGGGGCAGACTTTGAATCCAGGCCCTTTTCTGCATAAAAAGTACTAAATGGATTTTGAGTGACTCTTGACCTCACTCTGGCTTAAGCCAGATTCCATGTTCACTATTAGTTAATGAGTTTTTAATTTGGCTAGCCATTTGTTAAAGGCCTCTCTAGTCCTGGCCGCTAGGGTTTAGCGGAAAATGTTGCCCAAGAAATTGCATTGCAAACTGAATTGAAGTCTTGGCTTCATTTTCCAGCCTCAGTTTTCTAACCTGTATAGTGAAAATAGCCGTTCTGATTTCAGGCAGAGTGTAATGGAAACAGGATTTTTAAATAAAGTGCTTTAACAACAAGGTTCAAGCGACGAGTGTACCCCTTTTTTTCTTCTAATACCTTTTAGAGGCAGTGTGTCCACCTGGTGCGCCTAAAATTGAAACAGTTGAAACAGTTGATGGAAATTTTGTGTTTATGTAAATAAAACTCTCTAATAAATCTGGGTCTTTGTTTTAATGTTTTGCTATCTAAAGACTCGTGGAAATGCAGTCCTATTCAGTCACCAGTATCTAATCCAGGCCCAAACTTTTTAACATTCTCTCTAGAAATAAAGGAAGAAGTCAGTGGGCAGTAAATTATGTTTTGTGTCTAATTTTGATGTTGACATGAGAGATTGGATTCCCTCCTTGGAAATTTTCTGATACCATCCCTAATTCTGTATTACATTGAATGCTGTTGAACTACATATATTTAGAGCTTTTTCTGAAGATGATACTTTCTGATACCCTATGAATGATTTAGAGCAACTTTCAAGATAATTAGCCCCAAAAGAGATTTTAGTAATTACTTAAAATTTTTTTCATCTTAAAGAGGAAAAGCCAGACTCAGAAGTGAAATGGATGATAGAATTAGTAGACAGGGACGTGAAAACATTCTCTATGCATTCAAGAAGGCAGAAGAAAGTGTGAGCATGATGAGAAAAATGGAAAATATAAAATAGACCCAAAATGAACCTCTAGAGACAAAAAAATGAAGTGTCTGAAATGTAAAACAAGGAAAATGTGTTACTTATATCTTTTGTGGGTTTCTGTGCTCTTTATTCTTCTAAAAGGCAACTCCTGGAGTTGGAGGTCAGGCCAGTTGACTAATCTTTCCCCCTCTCCCCTGGGGTTTGCTCTGCCCGGGTGCTGCTGAGCCATTGCTGGCAAATCCTCATCCCTGGGAGCTAAATACTATTAGTCACTGTAATGTTGGGCATGAAGCTTCAAGTTGAAAGCAGCCAGTGCCTGGGAGATATCCTGTGAGTTCAAGTCCAGCCTCTGTCGGGTTTCCTGAGCTGGGGTCTCCTCACCTATAATACACGGATGGGAAGGGGGTCAATAGGACCCAATGAACATGTTAAAACTTCAGAGAGTATCAGGTTTTTTGTATGATAGCTTCTTAACGGTTTGCAAGTAGGTTTGCAAGTACGGGAGCCAGCAAGGTGGGATCCCCCAGCACTGGAAGAGAGAAGGGTCAGGGAAGACTTCCAGAGGAACTGATATTGAAGTAGATTCTTTTTATATATTTTTTAAGATTTTATTTATTCATGAGAGATAGGCAGAGGGAGAAGGGGGAAGAGCTCGATGAGGGACTCGATCCCAGTACCCTGAGATCATGTCCTGAACCAAAGGCAGACTCTCAACCACTGAGCCACCCAGGTGCCCCTTGAACCAAATTTTTGAAGAACCATTCAAGAGTGCTCAGGACAGAGGAAGCAACGTGTGAAAATCTGGAGTTAGGGATCCGTGGGTGGCGCAGCGGTTTGGCGCCTGCCTTTGGCCCAGGGCGCGATCCTGGAGACCCGGGATCGAATCCCACGTCGGGCTTCCGGTACATGGAGCCTGCTTCTCCCGCTGCCTGTGTCTCTGCCTCTCTCTCTCTCTGTGACTATCATAAATAAATAAAAATTTAAAAAAAAAAAAAAAAAGAAAATCTGGAGTTAGAGCATCCACCCGTGTGGTTAGGGTTTGGGTTCCCTGAAAGCAAACCGAGTAGAGGACTTGGGTGCAGGAATCTTGCTTGGGGGTGACTCCAGGGCGTGGAAGACCTCGAGAAAGTAGAAACCACTGAAGGGTGTGCGGATGAGCTTATCAGCCTGGTGGGCACCTGGAGTTGCACCCTATGGGGGGGCGGTCCCTGAGGAATCATTTAGAATTGCCTCAGAATTGTCCCACCAGAGAGTAGGAATGGGGGACTTGGATTCACCAACTCCTTTCACCTGTTGGCTGTCTGACCTGGGGAGAACCACCTCCTCCTTTGAATTTTCTGGGATTGAGGCTTTCTCAAATGCCTGAGGCAGCAAGGCAAGAGTGACCTCTCCTGTTTAATGAGGGATGCCGGCAAGGTGCATGAGTGTTTGTGGGGAAATCAGGCTGGCTGAGAGGGTGTGAGGCCTTGTCTTGGTGGCCTAGGACCTCAATACCACTCACCCTCCATCGTTCTAGCCTGGAGTACTCATGAAATAAAGGGTTTTTCCCCCCAGGAGTTGAAAAATGCTATCTGTTTTATTTACCCTTTTTTTCCTCCAGCTTTATAGAGAAGTCAACATACGACATTGTGTAAGTTGAACATGCACAAACAACATAGTGATTGGATATATGGATATATGTTGTGCAATGATTGCCGCAGTAAGGTATAGGTTAGTGTGTCCACCTCACACAGTTAACGATGAAAATGTGAAATCCTTTTTAACTTGAAATGAGGGAATTTTTTATTTTACAAAGACCCACATTCCTAATTTCTCTTGAAAAATAAGATCACATTGGGACGCCTGAGTGGCTCAGCGTTGAGCATCTGCCTTCGGCTCAGGGCATGATCCCGGGGTCCGAGGATTGAGTCCCACACCGGGCTCCTTGCATGGAGCCTGCTTCTCCCTCTGCCTGTGTCTCTCTGCCTCTCTCTCTGTGTCTCTCATGAATAAATTAAATCTTAAAAAAAAAAAAAAGATTACAGCAGGGCCTCGTCCCTCCACTGCACAAGCAGATTGGCCTGAGCAGTGGCTGTGCCAGCAGCATGGAACACCTGGCCTTCTTTGAGGGCTCTGGGGTCCCCTTGCTTGTCATACAAGTCATTACACTGTGGTCCCTGCGGGCTTCTGGATTTGTAGACCCAAGGTATAGGGTATTTGAGGAGTGAAAGAAGTCTGATCTGGCTAGAGCTGTGTCTGTGCAGAAGAGAGAAGGGCAGGGAGTAGGGGAGTGGGAGGCGAGCACTGAAACCCACTTTGGAGAGAGGCCACCACCGGAAGTTCCTGGTGCAAATCTGGCTGATTATTAAAGGTGGGGTCTGGACACCCAAGACTGACTGTGGTCAATCAGTCTTATAAGTCTCCTAGGGAGGGTTGGCCAAGATTGGTTTCCTGAGTTCTCTTAGCTGTGGCTCTATCTAGTTTGTCCCTGGCTATCTTGAAAGTCAACACAGCACACACTTGAAATGTGGGTTTCAAGCAAGCTGAGCTGAGGATGGAGTCTGGAGTCCTAGAGCTGAGTCAGAGGTGTGTTGGTCACCTTTCTGCAGGGGTCAACATTCTGCTATCTTGAGACTAAACCCTTAATTCTTTTGCTTGTCGATTTTTGTGGGGTACATACTCCCCAGCAATGTGATTTCAAGCCCCCTGTGAAGTCACTGAGCTGTGGCGAGATATGCTGTTGTGCACCATTCACATAGTATTTTCACCATGGAGACATGTTAGTTGTAAATGACCTTAAAAGCATAATAATAGTAAAATGTGGTAAATTAGGATATATAGTGTTTTCAGTATTTATTAGCTGATTTTAATCTTTTCAATTACAAATTTATATAATTTAATTTTTAATAGTGTCTGTGTTTAGCAGCCAGCTGACACAATTCCTGGAAAATTTAACAGTAAGCTCTTGGGAACCTGTTGATCCTGTTCCCTGTGCCTCTGTGGGGTGGGAGTGGGGGAGGTTGCAAGAGGCTCTCCTATCAGAAGGCCTCCGCTGTGCCTGCGTCCTGTTGCAAAGGACATGGTGACAATGGGGAAAGTCTTTTATTTGAGGGACCTCAAACCTAGAGCCCAGCTGCAGGCTGAGAGTAGGCTTGGGTGTGGACTCAGCAGAGGACAGGAGGTGGGTGAGACTCCCTCAGAAATCTCAAGACCGTGAGGCAGCTGCCCTTACTCTTGTGGCAAGGATCCCATGTGTCAAGTGCATGACCTTTGCTCAGACCTGGTGTGCTCACCTCAGGAGCCTGGTGGGCAGGTTCTCAGCCTGAATTTTCTACCAACTCCACCTTGACCCCTCCTCCCATCTGCAGCCTAGACAAGGGCTGGGACTTTACCCCTCAGAAGTAGATGTATCAAAAAGGCAGGCCAAGGGGGTCCTGCCGGGAACTCGCATTCTTCCTACTTGGGAGCCGGTCTAGAACATACAGGCTGCCCAGTATCTCCCTATTGTTGGACTATAAACCGACACACATTTAATGACCTTGGGCAAGGCCCAAGTCAAGCGGCAAGGCCCAAGTCAAGCGCAGGCCAAGTCATCGGGCTCTAGAATGTGGGATCTCTTGATGGAAAAGAAATATGGAGACAAAGTGAACTCATCATTGTGATCCACGCCTCGCAGATGAGGAATTCCAGAGCCTGGACCTTGGCCGCTGCCACAGAATCCTTGGGGAGCTGTTGGAGAGAGAGCAGCAAAAAAGGTGGAGATTCAGACTGGAGAGAAGAGGAAGCTGTGAACTGCCTTTGGTGAGGTCCCTGATTGTCTGTGTGTCTGTGTGTCGGGGGACTGTGCTCTCCAAGCAAGGCCGCCTGTCTGTCTCCAGGCTGCACCCAGCATCTGAGGGACCAAATGCTCAGATGGAAGGGGAAATGGGTTAACTCTCCCCGGTTAGTTGCTATGAAAGATGAACTGTTAATTGTTCTTCTGGCTATGATGATGGTATCATGGCTATTTTCTTTTCTTTTTTCTTCTCTTTCCCTTCCCTTCCCTTTCTTTTCTCCTTTCTTTCTTTCTTTCTTTCTTTTCTTTTTTTTTTTTTGTCCTAGTCAGTAGCTATTTCCCTGAGAACTTGGGCCCCAGATCCCTGAGAAGTGTCAGGACCCTGGAATGAAGGTGCCAGGGAAGGCCACAGAAACAGAAACCCCTCTGGGCAAGATTCTGGGTTGACCATGAGACCTTTCTCCAGGGCCTTAGACAGATTATGTGCTGAGCAGAGCTTTCGCCTTAAATCTGAGTCCAAAGGCTTACTCAGCAGAGCCATCCGGGCAGTGACAGGTTGCCAGAGACGTCACAGAGTGCGGCTGGAAAGGGCAGAGCTTGAAGCAACAGAAGATGCGGTTTTGAGGTGGACTAACTCTTGCCTGACTCATGACTTAATGGGAGTTTCTAGATCTCTTCAGTCTTGCTTTGTTATGTTTTCCTACTTCTCACTGATGTATGTAATACATTCAGCCTATTTCTTATCCAGAAATAAAGATATTTCTGAAAGATCTATATCTTATAGAAGTCCATAAATAAAATATTTACAAATGCAATGATAGGATATTTTGGTTTTCCTTAAAATAACTTTTGGGGGGAGGACGAGGAGGGGCATGTGAGTGTAGATAAAACAAAATGGGCAGCATGCTGATTGTCTAAATTACGTGACAGATGACTGTATTCTCTACTTTGGTATGTGTAAAATTTTTCACAATAAATTTTCAAAAACAGAGGGGAAGAGATCCAGAGATTTTTAAGGCTGGACAGGAAAAAGGGAGTTTTGAGACAGTGCTAGAGTGGCCACCACAGGAAACTCTAATATTTGCAAGAAAGTGAAAGTGTTTCATGCATCACTCCCCAAAACGCAAACCATGGCAAGAAGTTCTCTGTCCGGAAAACAAGTTTATGGCTTTGTGAACTGTGGACTCTGAGCAAGTGACTTGACATCCTGGTAAAGTTAGACACCTGGCATGTTCTCTCCTTTATTCACATTTTTGTTCCCATGGACATGTTGCCACTGATAATTGGGCTCACGTGGTGGGGGCTTCCCTTTGCTTGGAAAAGGCCACTGCTTGCAGTTGTCCAAGGGTGTTCAAATTTTTAGTCGGGATGTGGTGTTGTCATGTGTTAGGATGACCCTATGGAGCTCTGGGACCATAACTGGCCTGGGAGTCCTGACCAACATACATCAGGAATGAGGTTTCTGAAGAACCAGTCTATACTTGGTCACGTATGGAGAGACCCCCCAGCAGTCGACCTAAGTTCAAGAATGACACGACAGAGAGGAAATCACTGGGCTTTATTTCACTTTTGCTTTTCAGTCTTTGTGGAAATATGAGGCTAAACTTTCGGGTGCCTTTAAAATCGCTGGCTTTTCTCTGTGGTGAGTGTCTGTGACTCACTGGATGAGCCCTTCAGATTATGCACATATAACCCAGGTGGATAGCTCGAGGGGGCAGAAATGAAGGTGACCTGCTGAATTCTCTGAGTGCCTGGCTCTCAGGTGGGCTTCACACCCAGTTTAACAACTTCAGAGCTTTGCAGAAGCTTCTAATTTGCTTGTCTCACTAGCCCTAGGTCAGTGCTTAAGAATAGTAATTTGAAAGAATTTTCAATGGCCACATGGATGTGGGCAGCCCATTTCTGATTCTCTGGGCTCCTTCTCTAAAGGGAAGTTTAGTTTTACTAAAACTAAATATAAAGAAATGGGTGGAGGAAACCTCTAATATTCTCTACTCTCCTAACTTCTCCACAAGGGTATAATTTGTTGATTTGACTGGGTTGGAGTCTCGGACAGTGACCACTGAGCCACGAAGCACAGAAGTTGGATTAGATTCTACTGATACTCAGACTTCCAGTCACTTTCCCAGTGTGAGGAACCCTGTCTTCGAGGTGCATCCCGTCATCTGAAGAGGTCCGAGGTTTCCTTGGTCCTAAAGAATATCCTTCAGAAAAAAAAAAAAAAGAATATCCTTCAGAGACCAGTTTGGCTCAGTGATCCAGAGCCTCATCACTGAGATGGGAATTATAGCAGCTTGGAGGAAGAGAGGAGCGGTTTTATTTGTAAGGCTTTTAAAACCAGGTTCTTTTTTTATGTTATTTATTCTCTGTGTGCTTTAGGAAAACAAGCGCCTTAAATTGGCCTCAAGATGTTCACTTGTTAGATAGATATTACTACCATTCAGACAAAGCACAGATAACTCATGTTTTTGTCCTTTTTTATGCATTGAGAATCCCCCCAAGGGTTACAGGGAAAATACTTACCTTTCAAACCCTGAGCCAGCTTGACCTGAAATATCCATGAACCCATACCCTGGGTTGCACTCATGTTTGTTTTTGCATGATAAATGGAATTACCTATAAGCTTGGATCAGCCCGGTTATGTTTCTGAAGGAAAGCCGAGCCTACCTGAAAGAGGGCGCTAGCCACTCATCCATCTCAACCTCTCCAGGTTAATCCGTTTCTGAGCATTTTCCTTCTCCAGGATTTACTGGCTTGTCCAACCTGGCAACAGGGAGACAGATTAAACAATTCAGTTGATATGAGAGGTGGCTCCTTTTTTTTCACTTTTTTTCTTTTCTTTGTTTTGCATCAGAATGTGTTTTTGTTTTAGTTTACTCATGTATATCTTGAAAACATAGGTGAGAGCATCGATGGGCACTGGGATCCGAGTGCCTGATGTCAGACATTGGATGAAATTCTGGAGCATCTGAGCGGCTCAGATGGTTGGGCGTCTGCCTTCGGCTCAGCTCATGATCCTGAGGTCCTGGGGTGGAGCCCCATGTTGGGCTCCCTGTTCAGCTGGGAGCCTGCTTCTCCTCCCTCTGCCCCTGCTTGTGCTCTCTCGGTCTCTCTCTCAGATGAATAAATTTTAAAAAAATCTTTTTTAAAAAAGGATCCCTGGATGAATTGCATAAGCACTCTGCATCCATTTCCTTATATTCCCTCATAGATTGTGTGGGACAGGTATGTTCCTCTATGTGAAGCTCTCAGAACAGGGACTTGGGACTTAGGACAATACAAGCCCTCAAGATATGAGAACGGTTGCTGTGATTCCTCCATCCTGTGGCTTTATCACTGCAGGATTGTCAGGATACTGCGCGCTGAGGGTAGATGTCCATTTAGCTTGCCGTATCTCTAAGTTTTTCTTTTCTGCACATGCAATTAAAGAAAGGCAGCTGCTCTCTTCCAAAGCCACTTACTTTCTGTTGGCAGTGGCGCTGTGTGAGTGCTACATCCAAAATATGTAACATTCAGGATCCTTCGGAGTCATTTATAAACTCTTTGGAGCGCTCTGCTTTCTTAAGGAATCCGGTAGGTGCTGGATTCTTAGGAGGCCTTCACCGCCTTCAAACGTGGTGCAGCAGTTCCAGGCCCGGAGCAGACCCCGGCCCCCCACTCGCTGCTGCACCCGTGCTGCAAAGGGCAGAGACCACGGGCAAAGCTTTTGATGGCTGTCACTTCCTCCCCGCTGCCCCCCACCGTGCCCAGGCCGGTCTCCGTGCTTTAGGAAACACGGGGCTCATTAAGGACAGGAAGTGAGCTTCCTGACAAATGTTATCAAGGACGTGCGGGCAGTTGCGTGTTGCCAGTTACCTGCACCCAGATGAAGCTTCCTGCAAGAGGCCCCCTCCCTCAGCGCGGGCCCCTGTGCGTCCTGCTGCATGAAAACACCAGCGCGGCCCAGGGGGCTGGGAACCTGCAGCCTGATGAGCACCCCCTTCCGGGGCTCCGCCCCCCCCCCCCCCAGGGCCAGGGGCTTGTGGGGAGGGTCGTGCTGGTTCTTGAAAGGTACTGCTGCAAGATTTGCTTGGTTTTCTTACTAACTACACTGACTCCTTCCTTCAACATATGTTTCTCAAGCCAGGTTCTCTCCTTAATAACAAAAACCCAAATAACTTTTTGAGATGAAAATGGGGAAAAGTACTTGAAAAACAGCTCAAATACATAATTCCAATAGGATTTCTTTTCTTTTTTCTTTTTTTAAATTTATTTTTTATTGGAGTTCAATTTGCCGACATACAGCATAACACCCAGTACCCATCCTCTTTTTTTTTTTTTTTTTCAGATTCTATGTATTTATTCATGAGGGATAAACAGAGAGAGAGATTGGCAGGGGGAGAAGAAGGGAGCCGTATAGGGGACTCAATCCCAGAAGCCTGGGATCACCACCTGAGCGGAAGGCAGATGCCCACCCACTGAGCTACTCAGATGCCCCTGGATTTATTTTCATTATTTCAGTTTTAAACCACAACCCTTTTTAAAATTTGGAAAAGAAACATTAGAGATCTGTCTGCAACGATAAAAATGGGAATTAGAGGCAAAGTTTATGTAACATCTTTGCATCAAAATGCATGGAGTAAGAGAGATTCGCAGGTGGGAGGTGGCTGGAGGTAAGCCGCTCTCCCTGTCTTGGTGTGGACCCCCCCCTGGCAGCTCTGCAGTGCCCCCTCTCTACTTCCTCCGTGTCTGAACCTTCCTCGTTGGTCCTGCAGGATTAAGAGCTGTGATGTGTGGGTCAGAAATTGTATCCCTGGGAAGGACCCATGTCTCAGATTGCATAGGGTAGTGTTGGAAAGTACATAACCTGAAAGAACTTCAAGTCTCCTTTGGCCACTGGCTGGCTCCTTGTGTCTCAGGACCAATTTCTCAGCATCTTTGGCATCAAAATCTAGCTCTGGGTCTGATACATAGGAAAGACTCATCAACCCCTTGAATTTTTATATCTTACTCACCCAGCTGCCTAAACCAGGAATCTGGTGTCCTG